TTTTTTGAGATGGAGTCTCACTCTATCACCCAGGCGGGAGTACAGTAGCGCGATCTCGGCTCACTGCAACCTCCGTCTTCCGGGTTCAAGTGATTCTCCTGCCTCAGCCTCCTGAGTAGCTGGGATTACAGGCGTGTGCCACCAAGGCCGACTAATTTTTTGTATTTTTCATAGCGACAGGGTTTCACCGTGTTGGTCAAGCTGGTCTTAAACTCCTGACCTCAAGTGATCTGCCCTGGCCTCAACATGCGTTTTGGAGGGTATAAATATTCAAACCATAGCCACCATCTTCTCTGTTGTCACGTGTTAGAGAAAGATTGTCTCTTCTGGGCCGGGCGTGGTGGCTCATGCCTGTAATTCCAGCACTTTGGGAGGCCGAGGCGGGTGGATCATGAGGTCAGGAGTTCAAGACCAGCCTGGCCAAGATGCTGAAACCCTGTCTCTACTAAAAATACAAAATTTAGGCTGGTCGCGGTTGCTCACGTCTATAATCCCAGCACTTTGGGAGGCCAAGGCGGGCGGATCACGAGGTCAAGAGATTCAGAACATCCTGGCAAACATGGTAAAACTCCGTCTCTACTAAAAATACAAAAGCCGGGCGCGGTGGCTCAAGCCTGTAATCCCAGCACTTTGGGAGGCCGAGACGGGCGGATCACGAGGTCAGGAGATCGAGACCATCCTGGCTAACACAGTGAAACCCCGTCTCTACTAAAAATACAAAAAAAAACTTAGCCGGGCGAGGTGGCAGGCGCCTGTAGTCCCAGCTACTCGGGAGGCTGAGGCAGGAGAATGGCGTGAACCCGGGAGGCGGAGCTTGCAGTGAGCTGAGATCCGGCCACTGCACTCCAGCCTGGGTGACAGAGCGAGACTCCGTCTCAAAAAAATAAATAAATAAAAATAAAAATACAAATACAAAAATTAGCTGGGTGTGGTGGCACATGCCTGTAGTTCCAGCTACTCAGGAGCCTGAGGGAGGAGAATCACTTGAACCTGGGAGACAGAGGTTGCAGTGAGACAAGATTGCACCACTGCACTCCAGCCTGGCGACAGAGCGAGACTCCATCTAAAAAATTTATGTATATATTAGCTGGGTTTGGTGGCCGGCGCCTGTAATCCCAGCTACTAGGGAGGCTGAGGCAGATAATTGCTTGAACACGGGAGGTGAAGGTTGCAGTGAGTCGAGATCACAGCACTGCACTCCAGCATGGCCGACAGAGTAAGACTGTGTCTCAGAAAAAAAAATTAGGTGGGGGCGGTGGCGGGTGCCTGTAATCCCAGCTACTCAGGAGGGTGAGCAGGGAAATCACTGGAGCCGGGAGGCAGAAGTTGCAGTGAGCTGAGAACAAGCCACTGCACTCCAGCCTGGGCAACAGAGCGAGACTGTCTCAAAAAAATAAAAAAGGCAGGCATGGTGGCTTATGCCTGTAATCCCAACATTTTGGGAGGCTGAGGCGGGTGGATAACTTGAGATCAGGAGTTCGAGACTAGCCTGGCCAACATGGTGAAACCCCGTCTCCACTAAAAATACAGAAACTAGGCCGGGCGCGGTAGCTCATGCTTGTAATCCCAGCACTTTGGGAGGCCGAGGCGGGTGGATCACAAGGTCAGGAGATCAAGATGATCCTGGCTAACACGATGAAACCCTGTCTCTACTAAAAATACAAAAAATTAGCCAGGTGTGGTGGCAGGCGCCTATAATCTCAGCTACTCAGGAGGCTGAGGCAGGAGAATGGTGTGAACCCGGGAGACAGTGCTTGCAGTGAGCCGAGACTGCGCCACTGCACTCCAGCCTGGGCAACATAGCGAGACTCCATCTCAAAAAAAAAAAATAAACAAAAACAAAAACTGAGTGTGGTGGCGTGTCCTGTAATCCCAGCTACTCGAGAGGCTGAGGTAGGAGAATCACTTGAACCCGGGAGGTGGAGGTTGCAGTGAGCTGAGAACACACCACTACACTCCAGCCTGGGCAACAAGAGGGAAATTCCATCTCAAGAAAAAAAAAAAAAAAAGGCTGGGTGTGGTGGCTCATGCCTATAATCCCAGCACTCTGGGAGGCCAAGGCGGGTGGATCACCTGAGGTCAGGAGTTCAAGACCAGCCTGGCCATGGTGAAACCCTATCTCTACTAAAAATACAAAAAATTAGCTGGGCGTGGTGGTGCACACTTGTAATCCCAGCTACTTGGGAGGCTGAGGCAAGAGAATCGCTAGAACACGGGAGGCAGAGGTTGCAGTGAACCAAGATCATATCACTGCACTCCAGCCTGGGCAGCAAGAGTGAAACTCCATCTCAAAAAAAAAAAAAGAGGCTGGGCACGGTGGCTCAAGCCTGTAATCCCAGCACTTTGGGAGGCCAAGACGGGCGGATCATGAGGTCAGGAGATTGAGACCATCCTGGCTAACACGGTGAAACCCCATCTCTACTAAAAAATACAAAAAACTAGCCGGGCGAGGTGGCCGGCGTCTGTAGTCCCAGCTACTCGGGAGGCTGAGGCAGGAGAATGACATAAACCCGGGAGGCGGAGCTTGCAGTGAGCTGAGATCCGGCCACTGCACTCCAGCCTGGGTGACAGAGCGAGACTCCATCTCAAAAAAAAAAAAAAAAAAAGACTGTCTCTTCTCATAAGGGCACTGTTCCCATATCATGGGGGCCCCACCTTGCTCACCGCATCTAACCCTAATTATTATTATTATTATTTATTTTTTTTTTTTTGAGACGGAGTCTCGCTCTGTTGTCCAGGCTGGAGTGCAGTGGCGCGATCTCGGCTCACTGCAAGCTCCGCCTCCCGGGTTCACGCCATTCTCCTGCCTCAGCCTCCCGAGTAGCTGGGACTACAGGCGCCCACAACCGCGCCCGGCTAATTTTTTGTATTTTTAGTAGAGACGGGGTTTCACCGTGGTCTCGATCTCCTGACCTTGTGATCCGCCCGCCTCGGCCTCCCAAAGTGCTGGGATTACAGGCGTGAGCCACCGCGCCCGGCCTAATTATTATTATTATTATTTTTGAGACAGAGTCTCGCTCTGTCACCCAGGCTGGAGTGCAGTGGCATGATCTCGGCTCACCGCAAGCTCCACCTCCCAGGTTCAAGCCATTCTCCTGCCTCAGCCTCCTGAGTAGCTGGGACTACAGGCGCCCGCCACCATGCCCAGTTGATTTTTTGTATTTTTAGTAGAGATGGGGTTTCACCATGTTGGCCAGAATGGTCTCGATCTCCTGACCTTGTGATCCACCTGCCTTGGCCTCCCAAAGTACTGGGATTACAAGCGTGAGCCACCACGCCCGGCCCTAACCCTAAATTATTATGCCTTCCAAAGACCTCATCTCCAAATACCATCCATTGGCATTAGGACTCCAATATATAAATGTTGGGGTAGCAACTAGGAAAAGAGATAGTTAGAAAGGATTTAACAGACAAAATATTCATTTCTAGAATACACAAAAGAATTTCTCAAAAAACGGTAAAAGAACAGCAACCCGGTAGAAAAACGAGGAAAGAATATTAATAAGCAGCTCCAGAAGAGGAAATTCAAGTGGCCGGTAAACACATAAAAAAGATCCTCATCCTCACAGGTAACCAGGAAAATGTGTGAAAATAGCCCTGGATACCAATCAGAGTAAGTCTGAGGACACCAGCGAGTGGGAATTTGGCGCTACGCATGCAGCTAGAGGTCGGAGTACTCCAGTGTGGGATCCGCCTTCCGGTGCCTGTCAGAGAAACTGCACATGTTCCCAGGGCGATGGAAAGACTTGTTTCCCTCAGGTGTTTGTATTTCTCTGGAAGAAGAACTGAACGGCTTCAGTGGAGCCTGTTGTCTGTTGTGAAGTGTAGCAGTTTAAGTGAGTACACCACATCTGCACAACTGACACGGCAGACTTCTAGACAAGCTGGGTGAAAAAGCAACTTACAGAATAATACATGCTATATCATATATTTTTTATTTTTATTTTTTAGACAGAGTTTTGTTCTTGTTGCCCAGGCTGGAGTGCAATGGCACGGTTTCGGCTCACGGCAACCTCTATATCCTGGTTCAAGCGATTCTCCTGCCTCAGCCTCCCAAGTAGCTGGGATTACAGGTGCCCGCCACCGCACCTGGCTAATTTTTGTATTTTTTAGTAGAGACGGGGTTGCACCATCTTGGCCAGGCTGATCTGGAACTCCTGACCTCAGGTGATCCTCCCACCTCAGCCTCCCAAAGTGCTGGAATCACAGGCATGAGCCAACATGCCCAGCCAATTTTTGTTAAGTTTAAAAACACATAATCAATGACCTATCTTGTTTTCAAATGCTTTCATTTGTAGTAAAAATACCAAAACATACTTGAGAATTATATTGAGGCCAGTGCAGTGGCTCACGCCTGTAATCCCAGCACTTTGGGAGGCCCAGTGGGGTGGATCACTTGAGGTCAGGAGTTCAAGACCAGCCTGGCCAGCATGGTGAAACCTCTCTCTATAAAGATACAAAAAATTAGCCAGGCATGGTGGCAGATGCCTGAAATCCCAGCTACTGGGGAGGCTGAGTCAGGAGAATCGCTAGAACCCCAGAGATGGAGGTTGCGGTGAGCCAAGATCACACCACTGCACTCTAGCCTGGGCAACAGAGGGAGATTCCATCTCAAAAAAAAAAAAAAAAAAAGGCCGGGTGCAAGTGGCTCATGCCTATAATCCCAGCACTTTGGGAGGCCAAGGCGGGTGGATCACGAGGTCAGGAGATGGAGACCATCCTGGTTAACATGGTGAAACCCCATCTCTACTAAAAATACAAAAAATTAGCTGGGCGTGGTGGCAGGTGCCTGTAGTCCCAGCTACTCGGGAGGCTGAGGCAGAAGAATGGCATGAACCCGGGAGGCAGAGCTTGCAGTGAGCTAAGATCGCGCCACTGCACTCCAGCCTGGGCGACAGAGCGAGACTCCATCTCAAAAATAGTAATAATAATAATAATAATAATAATAATTAAACATCACAGAAAAGACAGGAAGAAAACACAACCCACAAACGACAGGGTTACCAGCAATTCTCTTTAATGCTCTTTTCCTTCTAAAAGCTTTTGCAAAGTCCAGTTTATTTTTACAGTAAATAGATTATCTTTTAAGAAAATGCACCATCTAGCAAGATTGTAGCAAAGTATGTTTATGCAAACAGGTGGTGCAGAGACAGAGGGGCGGACCTTGTGGGCAGCCTGAGGCCCGTCCCAGCTCATGGGCCACGCACGGACGGGAGCACGTCAGTGTTTTCAGCCAAGAGAACACAAGTCTCAGGATCCATGTGGCTCCCTCAGGCCCTGGACCCAGGCAGGCAGGACAGCCTTGACCACGGGGCAGGGGACATCTCAGTATCTTGTCCGCACCTGCACCACCTGCGTGGCACCTGGCCCTCAGACACCGGCATGGCAGCTCCACGGGCCAGGCCCACTGTCCAGTTGCTCCTGCCCTGGAGTTGGGACCATGGGGAGGGAGAGTGCAGAAATAGCTGAGTGTCCGGAGGAGGGGCTGGGCTGCGGGCATTGCTGGTTCAGACTGGTGCTCTCCACCTGGCTGTGAGGCAGAGGGAAGCAGTGACCGGAAGAATCCTGCAGAAGTTCCAGAACTTAGGAGCCGGCTGAGGACGGCTTCCCCCTAAAACACCTCGGCTGCCTCGGCCACCCAGCACCTGCCAGAAATGCCGGCAGAGGCCGAGGCCACTACAGAAGAGCAAGTGCCCTAGCGCCCGCCTCCTGCCCAGCCCCACGGGGCAGCACCCACGTGTGGTCAGGCTGGTGCAGGGCCGGCAGGATGGGGACCAAGGAGACGCCAGCCCCATGGGTCCTGCACAGACCTGCCCATGCAGTGACCAACATCCAAGGACACAGGTGACCCCAAGAAGCGGGAGCGGCACCTCACCTAGAGCTTAGAAGAGAAGGATGCGAAATCCGCCAGCCCTTTGACATCGTTTGGGAACGTCAACCATGCCCCGCCATCGGCCACCAGCACAGCCCCCGTCACATAGGAAGCCAGAGGGCTGGCCAGGTAGAGCACGCTGTGGGCAATCTCGGTCTTGTTCCCCAGCCTCTGCAGCGGGCTCACAGTGACCTTGGTGCTCAGGCTGGCCTGGGGGCCACCTGGAGGGCAGCAGAAGGTTTAGGCCCCATGGGCCCCAAGACCCAGCACCCTCCCCTCTCCCCCAGCTCATTCCGAGAAGCATCTGGGAACAGCAAGGGCACAGTCAGTGTCCCCAAGGCCTAGCATGGAGCAGGATCAGGCCAGGCACCGAACATAGTTGCCACCATGGAATCAGCACAGGGCTTTTCTTTTTTTTTTCTTTTTTTTTTTTTTTGAGATGGAGTCTCGCTCTGCCGCCCAGGCTGGAGCACAGTGGCGCGATCTCCACTCACTGCAAGCTCCGCCTCCCGGGTTCATGCCATTCTCCTGCCTCAGCCTCCCTAGTAGCTGGGACTACAGGCGCCCGCCTTTGCACCTGGCTAATTTTTGTATTTTTAGTAGAGACGGGGTTTCACCGTGTCAGCCAGGATAGTCTCGATCTCCTGACCTCGTGATCCACCCGTCTCGGCCTCCCAAAGTGCTGGGATTACAGGCGTGAGGGCTTTTCAACATACCCCCTGCCAAGGTTCTGGAAGCTTCCATGGGTACCCTGTGCCCCAGGGGAGGATCTGTGGGAGGCCTGGGCTCCCTGAGAGCCGTACCCAGTCGCCGGAGCCCCTCCGTGCCACTGATGGGGCCAGGGGCGAGGCTGTTGACGCGGATGTTCTGGGGACCCCACTCCACAGCCAAGTGCCGTGTCATCGCGTCTGCACGGGAGAAAGTTGGATATGAAGGGGCCGCTCTGCTCTCTGCAGGGGTCAGGGCCAAGGCCAGGCCTCGCTGCCTGAAGCTGGGCTCAGCTTCACGTGGAGACTGCTGGCTTCCTGGGATGGAAGCAGAGGGCCCAGTGGGAACCCAGGTGGGCAGACCTGGGCAGGGGGGTCATACCCACAGCAGCCTTGGCAGAGCCTGCATGCACCTGGAGCGCCTGCCCCCGGTTCCCCAGGGTGGCAGTGATGTTCACGATCACCCCTCCGTGGTCCTGCAACACACAAGGCCTGAGGCAGTGAGTGGGCGGCCATAAGGGGGAGGCGGTAGGGCGGTGGGCCGGCAGCCGTAAGGGGGAGGCCGCGGGGCGGTGGGTGGGCGGCCATAAAGGGGAGGCTGCGGGGCGGTGGATGGCGGTCATAAGGCGGAGGCCCCCGACGGGAGGATGCCCACCCGGAAGAACTTCTCATAGAGCACGCGAGACACATTGAAGGTGCCGCCGGTGTCGATGTCCATCACGGTCTTGAAGGCGTTGAAGGACAAGGCGCCGGCGGGGCACAGGAAGTTCCCAGCCGCACCTGCAGAGTGGGAGACCGCAGCAGCTGCTGGAGCCTGGGGAGAGGGATACCAGGTGGGCGTGGCCAGGTGGGTGAAGGGGAGGGTGCAGGAGGGAGCCCAGATGCCCTGTGGCATAGGGAGGAGACCCATGCCCTAGGATAAATTCCAAAATGACCGGAGCAAGATGGGTGTCCTGGCTGCACTACGTCCCCGAGAAGAGACATGCTGAAGCCCTGACCCCGTATTTGCGACTGTGGCCTTGTTTGGAAATGGGGTAGGTTGCAGAGATAATCGAATTACATTGAAGTCACAATGAATTAGGGTGAGCCCTAAATCCAATGACTAGCATCCGTATAACAAGGGAAGAGGACACACACACACACACACACACACGCCACGTTAAGACAGTGGCAGACAGCAGAGCGACAGTCTTCAAGCCCAGGAGGGCCAAGGACTGTGGCAGTACCAGAAGCCACGCAGAAGGCAGGAACAGGCTATCCCCGGGGCCTTCAGCGAGCACAGCTTTGCCAACACCTTCCCCTTGGACGTTCTAACCTCCAGAACTGGGAGATTATATTTCAGTTGTTTCAGCCACGCAGGTTGTAGTACTCTGTTAGCCCAGGAAACTAATACACAGGATGTTTTTCAAAAGGAATTTTTGCAGAGTGAACCCAGTGTTGGTTCATCAATTGTAACAAATGCAAGATGTTAACAGGGAAAACTGTGGGTGGGAATATGGAATTCCATGTACTATTAATTATTCTATAAACCTAAAACTGTGATAAAAAATAAAAGCTGGGGGCCGGGCGCGGCGGCTCATGCCTGTAATCCCAGCACTTTTGGAGGCCAAGGTGGGCGGATCACCTGAGGTCAGGAGTTCGAGACCAGCCTAACCAATGTGATGTAACCCCATCTCTACTAAAAATACAAAAATTAGCCAGGTATGGTGGCGGGTGCATGTAATCCCAGCTACTCAGGAGGCTGAGATGGGAGAATCACTTGAACCGAGGAGGCGGAGGTTGTAGTAAACTGAGATTGCACCACGGTACTCCAGCCTGGGCAACAAGAGTGAAACTCCGTCTCAAAAAAAAAAGCTAGACCGGGCTAGCTTTTATTTTATTGGTAACTCTTGCCTGTAATCTCAGCATTTTGGGAGGTCAAGGAAAGAAGATTGCTTGAGCCCAGGAGTTTGAGACCAGTCTGGGCAACACACAGTAAGACCCTATCTCTACGAAAAACAAAAAATTCAAAAATTACCCAGGCGTGGTGGCACACGTCTGTAGTCCCAGCTGCTTAGGAGGCTGGGGCAGGAGGATGGCTTGAGCCCAGGAGGTGGAGGCTGAAGTGAGCCATGATCACACCAGCCTGGGTGACAGAGTAAGACGCTGTCTCAAAAAAAAAAAAAAAAAAAACGGCTATTACTTTTTTTTTAGGAGGGAATTTCAGGACACAAGGGCACGCGACTCTGCCATTTAGCCGTGATCATGGAGTCCACCTGGACTGCAGCTGTGCTGACCTGCTGCCTCCCAGAGAAGCGGAGTCAGGCCGGAGACAGAGGCCTGGAGACAGAGATCGGGAAACAGAGGCCCAGAGACAGAGGCCTGGAGACAGAGGGCTGGAGACAGAGGGCCAGAGACAGAGATCGGGAGACAGAGGCCGGGAGACAGAAACCGGGAGACAGAGGGCCGGAGACAGAGGGCCGGAGACAGAGATCGGGAGACAGAGGGCCGGAGACAGAGAGCCGGAGACAGAAACCGGGAGACAGAGGGCCGGAGACAGAGGGCCGGAGACGACGGAGACGGGGCCAGACGGAGACAGGAGGATCCGGGAGACAGAGGCCGGGAGACAGAGATCGGGAGACAGAGGCCGGGAGACAGAAACCGGGAGACAGAGGGCCGGAGACAGAGGGCCGGAGACAGAGATCGGGAGACAGAGGGCTGGAGACAGAAACCGGGAGACAGAGGGCCGGAGACAGAGGGCCGGAGACAGAGAGCCGGAGACAGAAACCGGGAGACAGAGGGCCGGAGACAGAGGGCCGGAGACAGAGGGCCGGAGACAGAGACCGGGAGACCAGAGAGGCCGGGAGACAGAAACCGGAGCAGAGGCCGAGAGAGGGCCGGAGACAGAGGGAGAGGGGCCGGGAGACAGAGAGGGCCGGAGACAGAGATCGGGAGACAGAGGGCCGGAGACAGAGAGCCGAGGCCGGGAGACAGAGATCGGGAGACAGAGATCGGGAGACAGAGGGCCGGAGACAGAGATCGGGAGACAGAGGCCGGGAGACAGAGATCGGGAGACAGAGATCGGGAGACAGAGAGCCGGAGACAGAGATCGGGAGACAGAGGGCCGGAGACAGAGATCGGGAGACAGAGGGCCGGAGACAGAGAGCCGGAGACAGAAACCGGGAGACAGAGGGCCGGAGACAGAGGCCCGGAGCCTGAGTCTGGGCCTCAGGTACATGGATGGGTTACAGCCCACCCCAGGGCAGGCAGCTAGGTTCCCTGGCACAGTCCCCACCCCAGGACCAGAGTTCTAGGGCCTCCAATCGGTACCACCAACCTGTGAGAAGCCACCACCCTCACTCAGCACCGACTCACAGTTAATGAGAATGTCAATTCTGCCAAACTCCTTCAGAGCCTGGTCCACGGCAGCCATCACAGCTGGGGGTGCTCGCACGTCCATACAGAGAGGGAGGCAGCGCCGGCCAGTGGCCCCAGCCAGCTTCCTGGCGGCCTAGAAGCCCAGGTAAAGAGGCAGACAGCAGCCCTGCAGCCCCGGCCTGGAGAAAAGGCCTTTGGAGTCTGCAGAGGACAATGGGTCCGGGTTCCACTGGAACCCTGGGTTTGCTGCGGGGCCCCACTCTGGGGAAGCACAGCCTGCAAGTACCCACGACCCTGGTAGATGTTTGTGGGGACCTGCCTGCCACACTCTCCCCGCACCGCCACCCGTCCTAGAATCCTCTCTCTGCATCGCCCTCCAGGCCACTGTCACCCATGTCCTGCCCCTGCCGCAGACCAGTGGCACAGGTGAGACTCTCCTCACAGGTTGAGGGCTCCGGTAGGTGGGATGCACGGACCACCTAAATAACCCAGGTGAGCCCAGAGATCTTTATTGGGGCCACATTACCCCCAAACAGGAAGGTTCCTCCCAGGACCCAATAACTAGATTTTTTTTTTTTTTTTTTTTTTTTTTTTTTTTTTTTTTTGAGAGGGAGTCTCGCTCTGTCGCCCAGGCTGGAGTGCGGTGGCCGGATCTCAGCTCACTGCAAGCTCCGCCTCCCGGGTTTACGCCATTCTCCTGCCTCAGCCTCCCAAGTAGCTGGGACTACAGGCGCCCGCCACCTCGCCCGGCTAGTTATTTTTTGTATTTTTTAGTTGAGATGGGGTTTCACCTTGTTAGCCAGGATGGTCTCGATCTCCTGACGTCGTGATCCGCCCGTCTCGGCCTCCCAAAGTGCTGGGATTACAGGCTTGAGCCACCGCGCCCGGCCAATAACTAGATTTTTAAAAAGTCAAAGAAGGCCGGGCGCGGTGGCTCAAGTAATCCCAGCACTTTGGGAGGCCAAGATGGGTGGATCATGAGATCAGGAGACTGAGACTATCCTGGCTAACACGGTGAAACCCCGTCTCTACTAAAAAATACAAAAAACTAGCCGGGCGAGGTGGCGGGCGCCTGTAGTCCCAGCTACTCGGGAGGCTGAGGCAGGAGAATGGCGTGAACCCGGGAGGCGGAGCTTGCAGTGAGCTGAGATCCGGCCACCGCACTCCAGCCTGGGCGACAGAGCCAGACTCCATCTCAAAAAAAAAAAAAGTGGAAGATGTCTCTGGTTGGCCACTTACACTGAAGCTCCATATTTAGAAGTGCAAGTTTTGGTGCCGGCTGGGCACGGTGGCTCACGCCTGTGATCCCAGCACTTTGGGAGGCTGAGGTGGGCGGATCACCTGAGGTCAGGAGTTCGAGACCATGGTGGTCAACATGGTGAAACCCCATCTCTACCAAAAAAATACAAAATTTAGCCAGGTGTGGTGGCGGGCGTCTGTAGTCCCAGCTACTCCAGAGGCTGAGGCAGGAGAATGGCGTGAACCTGGGAGGCAGAGGCTGCAGTGAGCCGAGATCGCACCACCACACTCCAGCCTGGGCGACAGAGCGAGACTCCCGTCTCAAAAACAAAAAAAATGTTGGTGCCAACATCCCCTTAGCCTCTGGACCCTCCAGGCCCAGGCCCAGCACCCCCACAGCCACCCGCACAGGGGAGCACGGGAGAGGTCCTCTCACCATTAGCACTCGTGGCAGGCTCCTGCTGGCGATCACCGTGTGGCAGCCGTGCCTGCAAAACCAGAAGCAGGTGTGAGGACAGTGCAGGCGAGCGGCACTCCCAGGGGGCATCTGCCCGGCTCCTGGGCAGGAGTCTCTCGGGCGGAAGTACCAGTCCAGGGCTGAAGGCCCAGCTGGCAGAGGGCACAGGGGCGTGAACAGGACTGAGCAACTCTGGAGGGACCTCAGGTGGTGCCCACCCTGGGGTTTCTGGCATGGGACATCCCACCGCACAGGCCTGCCAGCCCTGTCCCAAACACCAGGTACAGAGACTGCTGTGAGCCACAGAGGCCCAGCCCACACATCTGCCTGGGGCCTGCTGGGCCCACATCCTCCACCCTCTTCTCCCTGTGGGGCTGGCGTGGAAGGCCGTTCTGAAGCGGGGTGCTCCCTGCTCCCCTTCCTGACCACATGGATGCAAATCCACCACGTTGGCCTCTAGGGACCCCAGTTCCAGGAAGGCCGCTATGATTTCCAATGTCCAGCTTATCTACTGTTCTTGCAGAAGAGCACAAAGATAAGTCCTGCCTTTAGGTCAAAACAATTTTGATGTTATCTTCAACAAATTCCTACACACTCCCTCTGAAGCAAGACCCTTTCCCTGTGGTACAGAAGCCCTGGGCCTGGGGGTAACAGCTTGGAGACACCTGTCTCGCAGCCACCCGCCTGTCTCGCAGCCACCCGACTATGCTTCTGCCCATAAATTCCCCAATAAAATCACCTCACAGGGACAAACGGGATCTGTCTGCCTTGTTCTTTGATTTCTCCACTCTTCTGGTTTGGGAGTTGCTTCCCCACAACAGCCACAAAGGCAGCTACCCTCCTGCTAGGCAGACCCCACTGGAGCCACAATGTCCCATTCGGTCCTCAGCCACAAAGGCAGCTCCCCCTGCCAGGCAGGCCCCACTGGAGCTGCAATGTCCCGTTCGGTCCTCAGACGCCCCGAGCACAGAGCCACCAGTGGAAAGGCCAAATCTCTTCCTGTGGGGCTCACCTTTCTGGTCTGAAAAGCAGGAGCCTCAGGGGAACCGAAAAAGAGTCCCTCTCTCCCACCTCAGCCTAACTCTAGCCGCTGTCAGGTGGGATACGTTGCTGACCCCGGCCTGAAGCCACAGAATTGTGTCCCAAGAAAAAATGTGCCCTGCCGGGCGCCAGCACTGGGACCTGACACAGCCCTGACTTTCGAGGTCCCAGCAGGCCCCAGACCAGAGCCACACAATCTCCATTGACCTGTAGGAGCTCCGAAGTCCTGACTCCCCCCAGGGCAATCCTCAACCCCTCCCCAGTCCCTCTGGCAGGCACCTGGATCCTGTCAGGTGGATGAGCAGGGGACTTCTACCTCCCACCAGCATCTTTCCAGGAGTCCAGCATCCAGCAGGGCCCAGGCAGGGAGAAGCGGGGAGCAGGGAGGGGACTCAAAGCAGTCTCACCGCATGAAAATCTCAGCAATCCGGAACCCAATCCCAGAGCCGCCACCTGTGATGAAGGCCACTTTGTCCCTGAGAATAAAAAAGGAGGCTCCGTTAGAAGAGCCCTATTGGGCCAGGCCGGTGGCTCCCAGCACTTTGGAAGGCCAAGGTGGGTGGGCCACAAGGTCAGGAGTTCGAGACCAGCTTGGCCAATATGGTGAAACCCTGTCTCTACTAAAAACAGAAAAATTAGCTGGGCATGGTAGTGGGTGCCTGTAGTCCCAGCTACTTGGGAGGCTGAAGCAGGGGAATCGTTTGAACCCAGGAGGCGGAGGTTGCAGTGAGCAGAGATCATGCCACTGCACTCCAGCATGGGCAAAAGAGTGAGACTCCGTCTCAAAAAATACATATAAATAAAATTAAATTAAAATAAGTAAAAAATAAAAGAGCCCTGTTAAAATACACCCCCCATATTGCTACATGGCAATGATTTAAAATGAAAATTCGGCCGGGCACCATGGCTAATGCCTATAATCACAGAACTTTAGGAGGCCAAGGCGGGCGGATCACCTGAGGTCGGGAGTTTGAGACTAGCCTGACCAACATGGAGAAACCCCGTCTCTACTAAAAATACAAAAAATTAGCCAGGCGTGCTGGCGCATGCCTGTAATCCCAGCTACTCGGGAGGCTGAGGCAGGAGAATCGCTTGAACCTGGGAGGCAGAGGTTGTGGTGAGCCGAAATCATACCATTATACTCCAGCCTGGGCAACAAGAACGAAACACAGTCTCAAAATAAATAAATAAAATGAAAATCCATAAAATTATAGTATTTTATATATTTATTTTGAGAGAAATTCTTGCTACGTCATCCAGGCTGGAGTGCAGTGGCACCATCACAGCTCACTGCTGCCTTGACCTCCCAGGCTAGAAGGATCCTCCTGCTTCAGGGACTACAGGTGTACGCCATCATGCCCAGCTGATTTTTCTTTTTTTTTTTTTTTTTTTTTTTTGAGATGGAGTCTCGCTCTGCCGCCCAGGCTGGAGTGCAGTGGCCGGATCTCAGCTCACTGCAAGCTCCGCCTCCCGGGTTACCGCCATTCTCCTGCTCTCCCGCCTCTCCTGTAGCTGGGACTACAGGCGCCCGCCACCTCGCCCGGCTAGTTTTTTGTATTTTTTAGTAGAGACGGGGTTTCACCGTGTTCGCCAGGATGGTCTCGATCTCCTGACCTCGTGATCCACCTGTCTCGGCCTCCCAAAGTGCTGGGATTACAGGCTTGAGCCACCGTGCCCGGCCTGATTTTTCTTCTACTTTTTCTAGAGAGGGGTATTGTTTTGTTGCCCAGGCTGGTCTTGAACTTGTGCTGACACAAACTTGCAAAGTGCAGTGGGGGAAAGAGTATTTTGGTGCACAGGCTCATGCCTGTAAATCCCAGCACTTTGGGAAGCCGAGGCGGGTGGATCACCTGAGGTCAGGAGTTCAAGACCAGCCTGACCAACATGGTGAGACCCCACCTCTACTAAAAATACAAAAAATTAGCCGGGCTGAGGCAGCAGAATTGCTTGAACCCGGGAGGCGGAGGTTGCAGTGAGTATTTTGACAGAAAATGACAGAAGTAGATACAAGATAGAAAAAATAACCCTGGTTTAAACAAGATAGAGGTTATGTGGCCGGGCGCGGTGGCTCAAGCCTGTAATCCCAGCACTTTGGGAGGCCGAGATGCGCGGATCACGAGGTCAGGAGATCGAGACCATCCTGGCTAACACGGTGAAACCCCGTCTCTACTAAGAAATACAAAAAACTAGCCGGGCGAGGTGGCAGCACCTGTAGTCCCAGCTACTCGGGAGGCTGAGGCCGGAGAATGGCGTGAACCCGGGAGGCGGAGCTTGCAGTGAGCTGAGATCCGGCCACTGCACTCCAGCCTGGGCTACAGAGCGAGACTCCGTCTCAAAAAAAAAAAAAAAAAAAAAAAAAAAAAAAAAACAAGATAGACGTTATAGTTTCCTCTCTCCTAAGCCCTGCATGGCATGAATGTCAAAGATGATTCCTGAGATTCAGTCAGCTAGGTCAGGATAATATGGCTTTTTTATTTATTAGAGATTTTCTTTTTTCTTTTTTTTTTTTTTGAGATGGAGTCTCACTCTGTCGCCCAGGCTGGAGTGCTGTGGCCGGATCTCAGCTCACTGCAAGCTCCGCCTCCCAGCTTTACGCCATTCTCCTGCCTCAGCCTCCCGAGTAGCTGGGACTACAGGCGCCTGCCACCTGGCCTGGCTAGTTTTTTGTATTTTTTAGTAGAGACGGGGTTTCACCGTGTTAGCCAGGATGGTCTCGATCTTCTGACCTCGTGATCCGCCCGTCTCAGCCTCCCAAAGTGCTGGGATTACAGGCTTGAGCCACCGCACCCGGCCTTATTAGAGATTTTCTTGTACATATTAAATGTGTACTAATCAGTATGACGCACAAATTGTACCAGATGGATGGGCAGAGCTCTAAGTTGCCTTTCCTATTCTTAATGATTAAAGATTAATTTTGGGCCAGGCGCAGTGTCTCACTCCTGTAATCCCAGCACTTTGGGAGGTTGAGGCAGGTGGATCATCTGAAGTCAGGAGTTCCAGACCAGCCTGATCAATATGGTGAAACTTCATCTCTACTAGAAATACAATTAGCCCAGCGTGGTGGCGTGTGCCTATAGTCCCACTTGGGCACACTGAGACTGAAGCAGAATTGGGAGGCTGAGGCAGGAGAATTGCTTGAACCCAGAGTGAGACTCCGTTTCAAAACAATTTTTTTTTTTACTTTGCAGAACACTCAAAAAGAATTGTCAATACCTTTCCTTGGAGAACATAACTTAAAACTTTTTTTCTTTTTTTTTTTTTGAGATGGAGTTTTACTCTTGTTGCCCAGGCTGGAGTGCAATGGCGCGATCTTGGCTCACTGCAACCTCCACCTCCTGGGTTCAAGCGATTCTCCTGCCTCAGCCTCCCAAGTAGCTGGGATTACAGGTGTGCACCACCACACCCGGCTAATTTTTTGTATTTTTAGCAGAGGCTGGGTTTCACCATGTTGGCCAGGCTGTTCTCGAACTCCTGACCTCAGGTGATCTGCCCACCTCGGCCTCCCAAAGCGCTGGGATTACAGGCGTGAGCCACTGCTCCTGGCAAAAGATCATATTTGTGATAAAAACTTGAACATGTTGCAAATTGAAAAAAAGAAAAGGAAAGAAAAAAAAGGATCCGCCCATTGGCCGAGTGAGGGAGGACTTCGACCTTTACCCGGGCTGCCTTCCCATGTGAACACCAAGGCGTTTGCAGGAAAATGAAGAGCTGCTGGGCAAAACCCGGCATTCCTGGGCCTTCTGGGTCTTCGGAAAAATGATTTCAACCTAAAATTTTATGTTAAGAAAGACGAAGCCAGGTTGGGCCAGGCACGGTGGCTCACGCCTGTAAATCCCAGCACTTTGGGAAGCCGAGGCGGGTGGATCACCTGAGGTCAGGAGTTCAAGACAAGCCTGACCAACACAGTGAGACCCCACCTCTACTAAAAATACAAAAAATTAGCCGGGCTGAGGCAGGAGAATCGCTTGAACCCAGGAGGCGGAGATTGCAGTGAGCCAAGATCGCGCCACTGCACTCCAGCCTGGGCGACAGAGCGAGACTCCGTCTCAAAAAAAAAGAAAAAAGAAAAAAAAAAGAAAGGAGCCAGGCGAGACAGGTTTCCTAACACACGAGCCCTTCTTGGGGACCCCGCCGGCCCTCTCGGCGCTACGGGAACCACGTGGGGGCGCCCGCGCCCGGGGACCGGACGCCGCACCGAGGCTGCGCCCGCTTCCCGGGCCCCGCTCACCGCAGCAGGTCCGGGCAGAAGAGGTGACGGTACGCGGGGAGACAGTCGTCCCCCTCCACGTCAGGCGGCGGCTGGGCCATGACGCTCGCGGCGAGGACTGCGGGGACAGCGGGCGGGAGCTGCCTTGGCCTCCGGGACCCCGCGCGAAGCGGCGAACGCTCCTGGAACCGGGAGCCCCGCCCCACTCCCCGGACGCCCCGCCCCTCCTCTGATTTCTCCCCGGAGGCCCCGCCCCCGCGGGGGCTGCTGGGACTGGAAGTCAGCGCGCGAGGTGCAGGCGCAGTGGGGTGTGGGCGGTTCCCGCGGCGGAAGTCCGGCGTTCTGCCGTCCCCTCCCCGAGTTTTTTTCACAGGTATTCGGCGTGAGCGCCGCGTTCGGAGCCTGCGGAACTTGTGGGATACCCCTGGCTCCTGGGTCCAGGCCGGGCTCGCAGCCTCTGGGCCCCCGTTCGCATCCCCGTAAACACCATGGGGAGCGCGGCCTGCCCCGCGCCGCTTCCCAAAATGACCCGTTTTGAGGCCAATAAAGAATGGTCCGGGGCCGGGCGCGGTGGCTCACGCCTGTAATCCCAGCACATTGGGAGGCCGAGGCGGGCGGATCACGAGGTCGGGAGTTCGAGACCATCCTGGACAACATGGTGAAACCCCGTCTCTACTATCAAAATACAAAAATTAGCCGGGCGTTGTGGCAGGTGCCTGTAATCTGGGCTACTCGGAAGGCTCAGGCAGGAGAATACCTTGAACCCGGGAGGCGGCCCCGGCGGGGCTATGCCACGAACCCAGGACGGGGCGCCCCGCCTGTACCACTGTTGGAAGAGGGGAGCCCGCCACGGTCACGGGGGAAAAACACGCTGGGCCGTTCCTGGACTGGACATACCCGCGGGCCAGCGGCTTCAGGGGCGCGATGGAGCCGCCACCGCCACAGTAAAGGCTGCCAGGCCCTTTTTGCGCCGGATGGTGTCAGCCCGCCGGCCCCTTTCTGCCCCTTCCCAGGGAAGGCAGCTCCTCCTTTGGCGGCATCAGACAGCACCGGCTCCTGCCCAGCTTGGGTTCCCCCGGATTGCAGGTTGGTGGTCTCTGGACCCCCCCGCCTGGCTCATACATCCAACAAGGTTATAGAACTAGGTGTGCAAAACTTCATCTTTACTCTTCAACTCTTTACAACTTGCATAAAAGCGTCATTTCTACCTCAGAGTTGGCGGAAGTCATAATTAATGTACCACCCATGTGCTGGGCATGGTGAATTTTAATGCCTCCCCTTTGGAGGAAAGGTTAGGATAACTTTCGAAGACCCTCCCACCACAAAGGCTGTCCGGCACTTTGGTGCAAAATGGATTGGTCCAATCTTGTGCTGGCTTGGGGTACAGAAAGGCACTGAAGTTGGTGGCTGAAACTCCTCTGGGCTGGGCTGGGGCAGAGGTGAACAGGGAAGTAAGTGGTTTGGGATAGGCAGGGATGGACGTGGGCTTGGGTTCTTGCTGACAGAGGTAGTTGTTCCTGCGTGGAGGCTGGGGTGGTAAGGGCAGCTTGAGCCTCAGGCTGAGTGGATGCTGCTGTGCTGGCCCCCGTCTGCCCAGCTCACCAGCTCACTGCTCTGGAACCACAGCTGGATCTCCCGCTGAGCCCCCTCCACAGAGTCGCTGGCGTGGATGACGTTCCTGTGCCAGTGACAGGAGCAAGGTGAGGCTCAGGCTTCATGTGCACCCTGAGGAGTCCCAGGGACCATCTGTTGCTCCCCTGTTGCCCTCTGTCTAGGGGAGCAAGCCTGTGACTGCAGACAGGAAAGGAGTAACAGTGGAGCTGGGAAACCGGGTTCCAGCCTGGCCTCAGCCTTTTACAGCCTCGTGGACCCCCCCAGACCCCAGCTTTTGGGAGCCTCATTTCCCGCCAAGTTGCCCCATGCCAACCCCTTGGGGTGTCAGGCAATGATGGCACGGTACATATAACACAAAGGGAACGCCTCATTGCCCTGTGTGCAGGAGGGTCTGGAAGAACACCGCTGTCACCAACGTGAGCTGTCATGTTCCACCTGGCTTCAGCCCAGCACAGCAAGACACCCAGGTCTCGTGGATCTGCCACCACCCCAAGTGCTGGCCCTCTTCGTCCCCAGCAGCAGCCCGGTGTGTCAGGACCCCCGTACCTGCTGATGTGCACGCTGAAGTCACCCCTTATGGTTCCTGGGGCAGCCTCAGCCGAATCAGTGTGTCCAATCATGGCCCTGGAGGCGCGGACGACATTGTACCCTTCCCAGACCTGCAGCGCGAGATAATGGTTGGGAAGAAGTGGGGAACACCAAGGCCCCTGCACTCAATCCAGGGCCCCTCCCTTTGCTGGGGGGAAGACACACCCCCAGGCCCTTCCACCACCCCTGCCCTGCCGTACCATGGCCACCATGGGCCCAGAGCTCATGTAGCGGATGAGGGCAGGGTAGAAGGGCTTCCTCCGCAGGTCCTGGTAGTGCTCGGCAAGGACGCTCTCTGGTGCCTGGGTGGCATTGAGGGAAGGAGGAGGAGCCACAGAGAGTAAACCTGGGCACTAGCGCAGCAGCTGTGATGCCCTGACCTCAGGCACCTTGCAGATAACACCAGCATGGGCAGCACCCCCACTGCAGAACAGATCCCTCCTGCCCCTTCAACTGCCAAAGCCGGGCCCTACCCCGGCACTGGTTGGGATGTGAAAAGGCTGAGAAGGATCCCCCAACCCTGTCCCCATGGGGACACCCACAAGCCCAGAGCCCCACTACCTGCAGCATCTTCATCCCCACCAGTGTGAAGCCCCGCCTCTCAAAGCGCTGGATCACGTCCCCAACGAGCCGCCGTTGCACCCCATCTGGCTTCACCGCCACCAGGGTCCGTTCCCGGGTCCAGGAGGGCCCTCCTTTAAAAGGCAAGGGGTCGGGGCACTGACACCTCAGCCTTTCACATCCCCACGACCCGGGTTTCCCTGCCAGAGCCCAGGGGTCACCAGGCTTCAGGGTGTCTGCCACTATGCAGAGCACTCTGGAATGGACAAGGATGGTGCCCATAGCCAGAAATGCTCCCACGATAGTCCCTGTCAGGGACACCCAAGACAATGTGTCCCTAGGGCTTCTAGCCTCTCCCAGGGGCCATGGCTTCTCCCAGCAGAGGCAGAGGCTGCCTGAGATGTGTGATCGCCCAGAGGTTCAGGGAGATACTGCCTAAGCTCAAGGATCACCACCCCAAGGTCCATAGAGGCACAGCCCAGCTCAGGGACCACCCCGAGGTCCAGGGAGGCACAGCCCAGCTCAGGGACCACCCGAGGTCCAGGGAGGCACAGCCCAGCTCAGGGACCACCCCAAGGTCCAGGGAGGCACAGCCCAGCTCAGGGACCACCCCGAGGTCCAGGGAGGCACAGCCCAGCTCAGGGACCACCCCGAGGTCCACGGAGGCACAGCCCAGCTCAGGGACCACCCCGAGGTCCACGGAGGCACAGCCCAGCTCAGGGACCACCCGGGGTCCCCAGAGGCACAGCCCACCCAGCTCAGTGGCCGCAGGGAAGTCTGGAGATCTGGCAAAGCTCCAGCCTCACTTTTGACTCCAGCCCTTCTGGATGACGACAGACATGGTCTGAAGCCCAGACTTTCCACGTGAAGAGGAACCCAGAGCCCACCCTGTGTTTGAGGTGAAGGAGTGGCAGGAAACCAGGGAGAAACACACTTTCCCCACCGGTGAGCCCTGGAAACACGGACAAAGGGGGCCTGAAGATTGAAGAGGGAAGGTAGCAGGGTTCCTGCCCGAGCCAGGAGACGGGGTCTGTGCTGCTGTGGAGTTTCAAGGCCTGCCGCTTCCAGACCCAGGGTCAGCACTGAGCTCCGCCCCAGCCGTCCTCCACTGGAGGGGACGCTGCCAGGGAGACAGAAGACGTCCTCACCCTCCCACAGTCCCAGGCTGCTCCAGAGCCAAGCTACCCTCCGCAGCGGGTCCCTGGTTTCCAGACGAGCCCAGACCCTGTATGTCCCACAAAGAGGCTGGAAAGAGCCAAAGGGGCCCCGCCAGGCCAAGAGGAAAAGTTAACCCCAGCAGGCGGCTGAGGCCCATGGGAGGAAGACCCCCTGATTGGTTTGTTCCCCCAAAACCCAGTTCACAGGGCGCCCTGTGTAGCCTGGGGCTCTGCTGCGGCTGGTGCGGGCATTGGAGGCGGCGGCTCACTTTTCAGAGCCGATGGAGGGAGCCCTGGGACATGGATCGTCCTGTGAGGTGGCAGCTGGGGGGGCCGGGTGGCGGCGGGGCCGGGGACTTAGCGCCTGGCGTCCCAGTCAGATTCTGGCCTAACTTGGCCTTCAGCGAACGACCCAGCGGAGCGGCTCCCTACCCCCACCCCGGCCGGGAGCCCCCTCACCGCCCAGTGCTGCCGCCGGCCTCTGCCTTCCTTGGGCTCCTGGGCCCTCGGTCGCCCCGGATCCGCCCAGGCTGCCAACTCGCCGGGCGCCTGCAGCCTGGGGCCTGGGGAGGCGAGAAGGGGCCGCAGAGCCGGGCGGGCCCTGGAGGGGCGCGGGGGTGCAAGCCGGCGCCTTCCCCAACTCGGGCGGACCCCGCAGCCCGCGCCCCGAGGCCTCTGGGGGAGTCGGACCCCGATCCGCACGTGCGCGGACAAAGGCCGAGCGGCGCGCGCCCCCTCCGTCCCCCGCGTACCCGCCGGGAAGCGCGGCCCCACTCACCCGAGCTGGGGCGCACGAGCAGGCTCGGGTCCGGGGCCCGCGGGCCGCAGCGCAGCCCCCGCAGTGCGGAGCGCCAGAAGAGGCCGCCCATGACGCCCGGCCCGCGGGCCGCTGCGAGAGCGAGGAGCGGGCGCGGAGGGCGGTGCCAACCACAGACCCGCCCCCGCCCGCCCCGGAGCCCCCGCGCCGATGCTATCCGCAGCCCCCCGCCGCCCCAGACCCCCGTGGCCTGGCGCTCACGGGGCGCGTGGAAATGTTCAACGCCAATTTCTGTTAAAATTGAAGAAAAAACAGAAAATAATAATGAATCCCTCTCGAATTGCATTCGTCTTTATACGGACGCAACTGTTAACTATCATTTTAACGCTTTCCCGCGGAGGAAGGCCCACTCGGGAGGCTGAGGCGGGAGGATCGCTTGAGCCCAGGAGGTTGAGGCTGCAGTGAGCTGTGACTGCACCGCTGCACTCCAGCCTGGGCAATAGAGCAAGACTCTGTCTCAAGAATAAATAAATTCACGGACCAAAAGGAAGTCTGTCTAGAAGCCCTGGCCTGAGCTGCCTCCAATGGAGGGTGAAATTCCCACGGGAGCCCCAGGGCGGGAGGAGGCATGCGCTCCGGAGACGCTGGCCCTGCGGCCAGGACGAGTAGGCGGGACTACAGACCCGCGCCACCACAACCAGCTAATATTTTAATTTTTTGTAGAGATGGGGCCTCCCTGTTGCCCATGCTGGTCTCAAACTCCTGGGATTAAGAAATCCTCCTGCCTTGGCTTCCCAAGGTGCTGGGATTACAGATGTGAGCCTGGTCTGTGAATGTGAATGGGGAAAAATGCGACCTTTATTCTCAAATGGCCGCTGATGTGGCTGCATTCCTCTAATTCATTCAGTTGTGGATATGAGGAACAAGGCACAGTCATAGTTGCAGGGCCTGTGACTTTGTCACCAACAGAATTCACAGGTATGGTAATATTGGGTAGATACCACAGGGTGCTACTGTTTGAAATGGTTAGGTCTCCCACTCCTAGAACTTAATGAATCTTGAAAAAGCTTGTATTCTTTTTGCTGCTATGTGAATGGAATTGTTTTCTTATTAAAATTGTCCGTTGCAAGTGTATAATGTACAATTGAGGCTGGTTGGTTTGTTTTTAGAGGGAGTGTCGCTCTTGCTGCCCAGGCTGGAGTGCAGTAATGGCATGATCTCTGCTCACTGCAGCCTCTGCCTCCCAGGTTCAAGCAATTCTCCTGCCTCAGGCTCCTACAGGTGTTTGCCACCACACCTGGCTGGTGTTTTTTTGTATTTTTAGTAGAGACGGGTTTTTGTCATGTTGGCCAGGCTGGTCTCAAACTCGTGGCCTCAGGTGATCCACCCGCCTTGGCCTCCCAAAGTTCTGGGATTACAGGCGTGAGCCACCGCGCCTGGCCAACAATTGAGCTTTGTGCATTGGTCTTGTATCCTGCAAGCCTGCCGAATGCATTTATTAGTTCTACTAGTTTTTTTAATGAATTCCTTGGGAATTTCTTTGTATAAGATTGTGTCATATGGAGCAGGGCACAGTGGCTCGTGTCTGTAATCCCAGCACTTTGAGAAGCCAAGGCGAGCAGATCACAAGGTCAAGAGTTCAAGACCAGCCTGGCCAATGTGGTGAAACCCCGTCTGTACTAAAAATACAAAAATTAGCTGGGCACGGTGGTGCATGCCTGTAATCCCAGCTACTGGGGATGCTGAGGCAGGAGAATGGCTTGAACCCAGGAGGTGGAGGTTGCAGTGAGCCGAGATCGTGCCATTGTATTCCAGCCTGGGTGACAGAGCAAGACTCTGCCTCAAAAAAAGTCATGTCATATGGGAATAGAGATGGTTTCAGTTCTTTCTTTCCAATCTGAATGCTTTTATTTTCTTGTCTAGTTGCTCTGGCTAAAATTTGCAGTACTATGGTATAAAGAAGTGGCTTTGTTTCTTTTTAGAGGCTGGACTCTATGGCTCAGGCCTATTGTCCCAACAATTTGGGAAGCTGAGACTGGAGAATCACATGAGCCCAGGAGTTTGAGGCTAGCCAGGGCAATATAGCAAGACCCTGTCTCTTCAAAAAAATAATAAAAATAAATAAAAAATATATGAGTGAAGTGTATAATATGTCAATTGTATCCCAATAAATCTATTGCAAAAAGGAAAAAGCAGTTATTATTATATCGTACATTGTTTAATGTTTTGTTTTTGTTTTTTTAGCAAGAGTCTCGTTCTGTCACCTGTGCTGGAGGGCAGTGGTACAGTCATAGCTCACTGCAGCCTTCACCTCCCAGCCTCAAGCAATCCTGCCTCAGCCTCCCCAGTAACTAGGAAAACAGGCCTGAGCCACCGCACTTGGCCTAAAATATTTTGTTTGTTTGTTTGTTTGTTTATGAGACATAGTCTTACTCTGTCGCCTAGGCTGGAGTGCAATGCCATGATCTTGGCTCACTGCAACCCCCACCTCCTGTTTCAAGCAATTCTCCTGCCTCAGACTCCCAAGTAGCTGGGATTACAGGTGCTCGCCACCACACCCAGCTAATTTTTTGTATTTTTAGTGTAGACAGGGTTTCGCCATGTTGGCCAGTCTGGTCTTGAACTCCTGACCTCAGGCAATCCACCCACCGCAGCTTCCTAAAGTGCTGGGATTATAGGTGTGAGCCACTGTGCCCGGCCTGGCCTACAATATTTTCATAATGGTATTTCAGTATAGTTTTTTTATTTTTTCTTTTTTTTTTTTTTGAGACGGAGTCTCGCTCTGTTGCCCAGGCTGGAGTGCAGTGGCACGATCTTGGCTGACTGCAACCTCTGCCTCCTGGGCTCACGCCATTCCCCAGCCTCAGCCTCTGGAGTAGCTGGGACCACAGACGCCTGCCACCATGCCCGGATAATTTTTTGTATTTTTAGTGGAGACGGGGTTTCACCATGTTAGCCAGGATGGTCTCGATCTCCTGACCTCGTGATCCACCCACCTTGGCCTTCCAAAGTGCTGGTATTACAGGCGTGAGCCACTGTGCCTGGCATTTTTTTCTTTTTATTTCCGTGTATTTTATTTTGCACATTAAAAACATGCTGGCCGGGCTCAGTGGCTCACGCATGTAATCCCAGCACTTTGGGAGGCCGAGGCAGGCAGATCCCTTGAGGCCAGCACTTGGAGACCAGCTTAGCAAAATGGCGAAACCCTGTCTCTACAAAAAAAATTCAAAAATTAGGTGGGTGTAGTGGTGCGCGCCAGAACTCTTGTTAGAAACCATCAAGCTGTTGTTGATCCTCCCATCTTGGCCTCCCACAGTGCTGGGATTACAGGCGTGGCCACAGCGCCCGGCCCTGGCCTCCGTTGTTTCTAATGGGAAGTTATGCCATTCAGTTGTTCCCTGGACTATAATGTGTCATCTTTCTCTGTCTGCTTTCAATATTTTCTCTTTAAGTTCGTTTTCCAGCAGTTTGACTATGATGTAATTGGTTATGGTTTTCTTTGCATTGATTCTTGTTAAGGTTCACTAAGCTGCTTGAATCTGTAAATTAACGCCTTTCACCAAATTTTAGAATTTGGGGTATTTCTTCACATATCTTTTTCTGTCTCAGTTTCTTTCCTGTCCTCTTGGAGTTCCATGTGTACACACGCTAGACTTCTTTCTTTCTTTCTTTCTTTCTTTTCTTTCTCTCTTTCTTTCTTTCTTTCTTTCTTTCTTTCTTTCTTTCTTTCTTTCTTTCTTTCCTTCCTTCCTTCCTTCCTTCCTTCCTTCCTTCCTTCCTTCCTTCCTTCTTTCCGTCTTTCTTTCTTTCTTTCGAGACAGAGTCTCACTCCGTTGTCCAGGTTGGAGTGCAGTGGCGCGATCTCGGCTCACTGCAAGCTCCGCCTCCCGGGTTCACACCATTCTCGTGCCTCAGCCTCCCGAGTAGTTGGGACTACAGGCATCTACCACTGCGCCTGGCTAATTTTTTTTGTATTTTAAGTAGAGACGGGGTTTCAGTGTGGTCTCAATTTCCTGACCTCATGATCCACCTCCCTGGGCCTCCCAAAGTGCTGGGATTACAGGTGTGAGCCATCGCATCCAGCTAGCCCTCTTTCACCTCTGCTCAGGTCACTGCAGGGAGGATCCAGGAAGAGTGGGTTCCTCCTACAAGGAGGGGCCCAGCACAGCCTCAGTCCCATCGGCCAGCCCAGGTACACTGCTGAGGGATGCAAGGGGAGCCCTCCAAGCAGAAAGCAACTCTTGGGCCTCCTGCCCCAGCAGTCACCTCTGTCCCTGTCACCTTTTGTTCCCACCCCTTGGAAGGGACAAGGACATCTGCTGTGGTTCCGTGCTCCAGTACTGCTGGACTCACCCCAGGCTCCCTGCAGGCTGAGCGCTGTACGGTCACTGCCCATGCCCTTCATCTTCCAACTCACTAGCACCCACACCCAGGACAGGCGTTCATTTGCTCAGACAAAATAGGGATAAATAAGAACCACTGCTGGGCGTGCTGGTACTGGCCTGTAATTGCAGCCACCTGGGAGACTGAGGCAGGAGGACCCTTTGATCCCAAGAGGCCAACGCTGCAGGGAGCCACTATCTTCCCACTGCACTCCAGCCTGAGTGACAGAGCAAGGCCCTGTCTCAATTAAAAAAAAAAAAAAAAAAGAAAAAAGAAAAACCCATCTACTGCCATCTACTGAATGTAAAATAACAACAAAACACTGTACTGAACATAAAACAAAAAAAAAAAAACTGAAACTTCATTCAAATTCTAAGAGTATGTACTTCCGGCCAGGTGTAGTCGCTCATGCCTGTAATCCCAGCACTTTGGGAGGCTGAGGTGGGCGCATCACCTGAGGTCAGGAGTTTGAGACCAGCCTGGCCAACATGGTGAAACCCCGTCTCTACTGAAAATACAAAAGTTAGCCAGGCGTGGTGGTGCACACCTGAAATCCCAGCTAATCGGGAGACTGAGGCAGGAGAATCACTTGAACCTGGGAGGCAGAGGTTGCAGTGAGCTAAGATCCTGCCATTACACTCCAGCCTGGGGGACAAGAGCGAGACTTTGTCTCAAAAAAAAAAAAAAAAAAAAAAAGTGTAGGGAAAAGAAAGAGAGATCAGATTGTTACTGTGTCTATGTAGAAAAGGAAGACATAAGAAACTCCATTTTGGGCTGGGCGCAGTGGCTCAAGCCTGTAATCCCAACACTTTGGGAGGCCGAGACAGGCGGATCACGAGGTCAGGAGATCGAGAACATCCTGGCTAACACAGTGAGACCCCCATCTCTACTAAAAATACAAAAAATTTAGCTGGGCTTGGTGATGGGCGCCTGTAGTCCCAGCTACTCGGGAGGCTGAGGCAGGAGAATGGTGTGAACCCAGGAGGTGGAGGTTGCAGTGAGGCAAGATCGCGTCACTGCACTCCAGCCTGGGCAACCGAGCGAGACTCCATCTCAAAAAAAAAAAAGAAAGAAACTCCATTTTGGTATGTACTAAGAAAAATTGTTTCTGCTTTGATATGCTGTTCACCTGTAACTTTAGCCCCAGCCCTGTGCTCACAGAAACATGTGCTGTGTGGAAACAAGGTTTAAGGGATGAGGGCTGTGTAGGATATGCCTTGTTAACAATATGTTTGCGGCTGGGCGCAGTGGCTCAAGCCTGTAATCCCAGCACTTTGGGAGGCCGAGACGGGCGGATCACAAGGTCAGGAGATCGAGACCATCCTCGCTAACACGGTGAAACCCCGTCTCTACTAAAAAATGCAAAAAAAACTAGCCGGGCGGGTTGGCGGGCGCCTGTAGTCCCAGCTACTCGGGAGGCTGAGGTAGGAGAATGGCATAAACCTGGGAGGCGGAGCTTGCAGTGAGCTGAGATCCGGCCACTGCACCCCAGCCTGGGCGACAGAGCAAGACTCTGTCTCAAAAAAAACAAACAAACAAACAAAAAAAAAACCCAATATGTTTGCAGGCAGTGTGCCTGGCAAAAGTCCTCGCCATTCTCCATTCTCGATTAACCAGGGACACGATGCACTGCGGAAGGCCGCAGGGACCTCTGCCCAAGAAAGCCTGGGTATTGTCCAAGGTTTTCCCCCACTAAGACAGCCTGAGACATGGCCTCGTGGGAAAGTAAAGACCTTACCATCCCCCAGCTCGACACCAGTAAAGGGTCTGTGCTGAGAAGTAGTGAAAGAGACAGGCCTCTTTGCAGTTGAGATAAGAGGAAGGCTTCGGTCTCCTGCTCGTCCCTGAGAATGGAATGTCTCAGTATAAAGCTGACCATTCGTTCTATTCTGAGATAGGAGAAAATCACCCTGTGGCTGGTGGCGAGATATGCTGGCAGCAATACTGCTCTGTTACTCTTTGCTACACTGAGATGTTTGTGTAAAGTGAAACATAAATCTGGCCTATGTGCACATCCAGGCACAGTACCTTTCCTTGAACAGATTCCTTTGCTCACATGTTTCTCAGCTGACCTTCTTCCCACCTGTTGCTCTGCTACACTCCCCTCACCAAGATAGTAAAAATAATGATCAATAAATACTAAAGGAACTCAGAAACCAGCGCCAGTGCAGGTCCTCGCATGCCTGGGCCCACTGTGTTTTCTCTATACTTTGTCTCTGTGTCTTAGTTCTTTTCTCAGTCTCTCGTCCCACCTGACAAGAAATATCCACAGATATAGAGGGGCAGGCCCCCCTCAAAAATGGTATGTACTTCCTACTTTTTTGGTTGGAAAATGACTTTTTTCTTTTTTTTTTGAGATGGAGTCTTGCTCTGTCTCTGTCACCCGGGCTGGAGTGCAGTGGTGCGATCTCAGCTCACTGCAACCTCTGCCTCCCAGGTTCAAGCAGTTCTCCTGCCTCAGCCTCCCAAGTAGCTGGGACTACAGGGCATGCCAGTTTTTTGTATTTTTAGTAGAGACAGGTTTCACCATATTAGCCAGGCTGGTCTTGAACTCCTGACCTCGTGACCCGCCCACCTCTGCCTCCCAAAGTGTTGGGATTACAGGTGTGAGCCACCGTCCCCAGCCCTTGGATGATTTAATTAATTAATTAATTAATTTTTGAGACGGGGTCTCAGTCACCTAGGCTGGAGTGCAGTGGTGCGATCTTGGCTCACTGCAGCCTTGACCTGCTGGGCTCAAGGGATCTTCCTGCCTCAGCCTCTGGAGTAGCTGGGACTATAGACACACATGCCACCATGCCTGGGTACAATTTGTTTGTTTGTTTGTAGAGACGGTTTCACTATGTTGCCTAGGCTGGGAAAATGACCTTTTTTTTAATGAAAGAATAATAATGTATGGTAGTTGAGCCTTAAAAAAAAACCCGGCCGGGCGCGGTGGCTCAAGCCTGTAATCCCAGCACTTTGGGAGGCCGAGACGGGCGGATCACGAGGTCAGGAGATCGAGACCATCCTGGCTAACATGGTGAAACCCCGTCTCTACTAAAAAATACAAAAAAAACTAGCCGGGCGAGGTGGCGGGCGCCTGTAGTCCCAGCTACTCGGGAGGCTGAGGCAGGAGAATGGCGTAAACCCGGGAGGCGGAGCTTGCAGTGAGCTGAGATCCGGCCACTGCACTCCAGCCTGGGAGACAGAGCGAAACTCCGCCTCAAAAAAAAAAAAAAAAAAAAAAAAAAAAAAAAAAAAAAAAAAAACCCAAACTCTGGGAAAACTATTTTTGTCTGTGAAACTCTGATGAAACTCTGATGTCTGGGCACCTCTGGTGTGGTTCATGCTGACAGGTTGGGGCACTGGGTCAGAAAGACGGGGTTACTGTCTGCACCCCTCCTGCCTGGCCACAGAGTGAGAGAGACCCATCTCCTGCCCTCAGGAAACTCGCGGCAGAGTGGGGAGACAGGTCTGCCATGTCTACCAGGTGGCCATGAACAGACAGAGGGAAACTCCTGTCAACCTGCAGAGCATGGGAGAGTGTCTGCGCGAGAGAGCGGTCCTCATGCAGTCTCACACACGGGAAGCATTTGGAGGAGGTGCACAGGGTGGTTATTTGGAGAAAACTGGATTACAGCTTTCTTTTTGCTTTTATTTAACTTTTGATATTTTTATCCAAGGCAACTATAATAATGCTTATTGCTGCTGGGCGAAGAGCACACCCGCTGTGGAAAGCAGCTCCCACACCCAGCAAGCCTCCCCTCTGGCCAGGCCACAGGCAGCTGGAGTTCACCCTCACCCAGGCTCACTAGAGGGGGACCTGGGGAGGGGGCTTGAGGGTCTTCCTGTTTATTTGGAAATACGATGCGTCCATGTTATCCAGCAGCTGAATTTTTCCACTTTACCGACATTCCTTCAGAAGACACATTTATAGACCTATCTAAAAGTTGCATAAAAATTCAGAGTAGGCTGGGCGTGGTGGCTCACGCCTGTAATCCCAGCATTTTGGGAGGCCGAGGTGGACGGATCATGAGGTCAGGAGATCGAGGCCATCCTGGCTAACACAGTGAAATCCCATCTCTACTGAAAACACAAAAAATTAGCTGGGAATGGTGGCGGGCGCCTGTAGTCCCAGCTACTCGGGAGGCTGAGGCAGGAGAAAGACGTGAACCCGGGAGGCAGAGCTTGCAGTGAGCCCAGATCGCACCACTGCACTCCAGCCTGGGCAACAGAGTGAGGCTCCATGTCCAAAAAAAAAAAAAAAAAAATTCAGAGTGTATTATAGCATAATTTGTTTACCCACTGCCCTCATGGAGCTCCCAGGTTTTTGTAACTACAAACAGTTCTGCTGCAAACATCCTTGTGTGTCTGTCCCTAGGCCCTAGTGTTCTCCAGTACATTATTATTATTATTATTTTAATAATAAAAAATTATTTTTAAAATTAATATTATTTTAATAATAATAATTTAAAAAGATGGAGTCTTTCTCTGTTGCCCAGGCTGGAGTGCAGTGGCCTGATCCCTGCTCACTGCAACCTCTGCCTCCCAGGTTCAAGTGATTCTCCTGCCTCAGCCTCCTGAGTAGCTGGGATTACAGGCGCATGTCACCATGCCTGGCTAATTTTTGTATTTTTAGCAGAGACAAAAATAATTTGCTATGTTGGCCAGGCTGATCTTGAACTCCTGACCTCAGGTGACCCCCCCCCCACCTCAGCCTCCCAAAGTGCTGGGATTACAGGCATGAGCCACCGTGTCCGGCCTCTTAATGTTGCCACAATAATTTTCTTTTTTTTTCTTTTTTTTTTTTTTTTTTTTTGAGACGGAGTCTCGCTGTGTCTCCCAGGCTGGAGTGCCGTGGCGTGATCTCGGCTCACTGCAAGCTCCGCCTCCCGGGTTCACGCCATTCTCCCGCCTCAGCCTCCCAAGTAGCTGAGACTACAGGCGCCCGCCACCACGCCCGGCTAGTTTTTTTTGTATTTTTAGTAGAGACGGTGTTTCACCATGTTAGCCAGGATAGTGCCACAATAATTTTCAAAAGGTTGAGGGGGTTCACATTCCTGCCAGCAAAGCGTGAGCGCCTGTTGTGGCGAGGGCTGCGTGGCTGCTTTTTGACAAAATGACTTGTTTTAATTTGTTTCCCTGACCACTGGTGTGAGTGAGCTGTGTCTCCTGTTACAGAAGAGTCTCTCCAATGCCAGCGCTCTGTGACTTAGCAGATGTCTGTGGACTTCTGTCTGGGGATTCTTATCCACCTTCAAGTTCACCAACCCTCAGCTGGAGCACTGGAAATGGGGACTCTGCTGCTTCTCTCCCTCTCTGGTGGGGAACTTGGGGCACAGGAACCTCAAACTAAGGTGACTCACTCAGGGGAGGGCAGTGGGAGGAGCGGGGCTTGGCCCCAGCCTGGGGCAGGGACTGGGTCTGATGGAGCAGTCCTGGGTGCTGGTGCTGACCATGGCTGCTGGGTGCAGCCCGGCACAGCACACTCAAATCATGGCTCAGCAAAATCCACGATCTGACTTCTGTGCCTTTAAATTGAGAACCGCCTAGGAGCCCCCTCACCCCTCAGCAGGGCAGAGGACGGCCAGCTGGCATTCCCGGGAAACAAAGGGTTTCTTTAAGGCTCAGCCGGGGCTTCCTTCCTCCCCGGCCAACACCTCCACCTCCGCTGCTTTGGCCTTCAGGGGTCTGGGCTGGTGGAGTCAGCTTCCCTTCCGCCGCTCCGTAAACCCTCACCCCCCGCTGCGGCGTTCAAAAGGTACAAACGGGTATAGTCCCTGCGGCCACCCCCACCCCCACCCCTGCCTCTCCGGCCCCCAAGGTCAACCAGTGTAGCCGGTGCTGGATCATTCCAGACATTCTATGCCTTTGATACACACAAATGAAACGTGTTTTTCTCCCTTTTCTACACAAATGGTAGCGCTCTGAACACACTGTTCTGCCTGTTCCTTTCTTACAGCTACTGCTGCATCTGGTAGACCATTTCTAAGCAGCACAGCGCTTCCTGTCTTTCCTGTTTCGGCCACGCTCTGTCGCATCTGGACCCCGTATGAATGACTTGAATGCCCCACCGGCCAGTGACACGCATGTAGGCGGTGCCACGTTAAGTCACTGGACGTATGCAGTGTCCCACTTCCGTGAACGTATCTGCAGGGAAAATCCAGAGGTGCAATTCCCGAGGGAAGGTCATTGCTGCTGTTACTTTAGTGGACAAGTCCGGAGTTCCCACTAGGCTCCCACATCCTCTGCCTGCTGCAAGCAGTGTCTGTGGGCCGCAGTCTCACCTGTCAGTACAGTTTTTATTTGCCAATGTGTTAGGTGAAAGGAAAAAAAAGTCACTTCAACGGGGTTTTCCTTTTATGTTTTACTTTTTTACCCTCACATCCTGGGAAGGACACTTTAGTGTTTTGTTTTTGTTTTTGTTTTGAGACGGAGTCTGGCTCTGTAGCCCAGGCTGGAGTGCAGTGGCGCGATCTCCACCTCGGCTCACTGCAAGCTCCGCCTCCCGGGTTCACGCCATTCTCCTGCCTCAGCCTCCTGAGTAGCTGGGACTACAGGCGCCCACCACCGCGCCCAGCTAACTTTTTGTATTTCTAGTAGAGACGGGGTTTCACCGTGGTCTCGATCTCCTGACCTCGTGATCCGCCCGCCTCGGCTTCCCAAAGTGCTGGGATTACAAGCGTGAGCCACTGCTCCCGGCCTGGAGAGGTTTTTAATTTGCATTTCTGCGCTGAGGGGGGAGGATCCCCGTATCTCTGGCAGCTGTCCTTCAGTATCTTCTCCGGGAGCCTTTGTATGGTTGATTTAGAGGTGTTTATTGGCCGGGCGCGGTGGCTCAAGCCTGTAATCCCAGCACTTTGGGAGGCCGAGACGGGTGGATCACGAGGTCAGGAGATCGAGACCATCCTGGCTAACCCGGTGAAACCCCGTCTCTACTAAAAAAAAAAATACAAAAAACTAGCCGGGCGAGGTGGCAGGCGCCTGTAGTCCCAGCTACTCGGGAGGCTGAGGCAGGAGAATGGCGTGAACCCGGGAGGCGGAGCTTGCAGTGAGCTGAGATCCGGCCACTGCACTCCAGCCTGGGTGACAGAGCGAGACCCCGTCTCAAAAAAAAAAAAAAAAAAAATAGAGCTGTTTATTACTACACTGTTACTAGTCTTATTAAGGTGAGCTCTGTGATGTGAGTTGCAAGTTGTGTGCCCCACCTCACAGTTGGGGGCTCGTCTTTTTGACTTCGCTTATGTAGTTTGGCTCTGCAGACGCCCCCTACCCCCCTCCCACCCACGACGCGGTGGAACTTCTGGATTCTGTGCCACGCTTGGAAAAGCCGCCTTGGCCCCAAGACAGAAAAAGCTTCCCTGAGTTTTCTTCTAGGCTTTATCGCTTCCTTTTTTCGGCTTAAATCTTACATGATGGGACTCCATCCCGGTGCAAAAAAGTACCACGACTTGACCACGCACCCGTCTGAATCGCCATCCCAATCGGGTACTACAGTCCCTAAGCACAAGCAGCCTTCTCGTCTGTGCATAAAAGCGTGGATCTGACACGCACCTGCAGCGGCTCTGCGGCGTGAAGGCCGGCCCAGGGGTCGCCGTGTTGAGGCGCCTGGCTCAGGCCCACGCGCGCCGGGCAGGGCAGGGCGCGGGCCCCTCTAGGTCCCAGGCGGAGGTCGGCGCCTCTGCGCCCCGCGGGCTCCCCGAGCCCGCCACGGACGTCCCGGCCGAGCAGAGCTGGGACTCACCGAACCGGCGGGGAAGCCCCGCGAAGCCCACGCCTCGGGGAGAATTTCCTGCGTGTTCCAAGCGCGCCCGGCGCGACCTCTCAGTCCTGGGACCCCCGCGATCCCTCCGTCCCGCGCGACCCTCCGTCCCGCGAGCCCCCTCCGGCGTCCCCCAGACCCCGCGTCCCCCGCTCTGTCCCCCGCGCGTCCCACGTGAACCCTCCCCCCGCGCCCGGCGTCTGCGACCCCCCGGTCCCGCCCCCCGACCCCGCCCGCGCCCTCCCAGCTGGGCCTGCGGGGCGGGGCCTGCGGGCGGAAGTGCCCCGGGCGACGGTGGCGGAGACCGGCCGGGCCATGGGCGCCGGGGGCAGAGGCGGCAGCGGCCGCGGAGGCGGCAGAGGCTGCCCGGGCGGCGGCGGGGGCTGGCGGCGCGGGACGCGGGCCGGGTAGCGCTGGGCCGAGCGCGGAGCCATGGGCCGGGCTGGCACCGGGACCGGGGGCGAGGCAGTGGCCGCGGTGGTGGCGGGGCCGCTACTGCTGCTGCTGCTCGCCCGGCCCCCGCCTGCCTCCGCCCGCGACAGCGGGAAGAGCGGTGAGCGGGGGGCGCGGGCGCCATCGGGGGAGTGGGGCTGGGGCCGCGGGCGGGGCGGGATTGTGACTCACCCCCGGCGCACCTGTGCGCTCATCTGGCGCCGGCGCGGGGCTGGGGTCCCCGCCGCGGGTTGGGGGCTCAGGGTGGCCCTTTGCGGCGGTTCGTGTCCGAGGGGTCGAGGCGGGCGGGACCCCGCTCTTCCTCCTGGTTTCCCTGAACTGGGTTGGGCCACATCGGCCCCTGGAGCGTCCTCTCCTGTCCCTCCTCCCTCCAGAGCGCTCGGGTCCGGCGTGCCCGGCGCACTCGGCGCGGGGAAGTTGAGGGGCCCAGGGGACTGCCCGGGACTCCAGATGGGAGGAGTGTCTGGGCCGTGAACTCACCGGCCCGGTCCGGCCTGGGAGAGGGGCAGAGCCAGGAGAAAGTTGTTAGACACTGGAGCGGGGCCCGTGGGCGTCATGGCTCCAGCCCTTCCACAGCGACCACCAGCCCTGGTACAGCCACTTCCCACCGCCCGCCCGGCTTCTGGGAGGAGGGACTGAGGAAAGGGCGCCCCTCTCCCCTCTTGTTTGGAAACTTTGCATTTCTGTTCCCTGAGGGTCGCCGTCCCTGACTGAGGTCCAAGGAGCCGGCTGGACCAGGGAGAAGGTGTTGCCCTTCCAAGGTCTGTACAGGGTAGGGACGTGTGTGTGGAGACCGCCAGGCCTTGGCCACCCGGAGATGCTGAGGACTTGCCCTGGCCTCTGTGGCCTCGCTCGAAGGGTCGTGTCCTTGCCGGCTGGCTGGAAGGGCCCACACGTCCCCAGTCACTCGGGTGCCCAGGTTCCCTGCAGCTGATCCGGTGCTGTTCCCTGACTTCCCGGCCCCCAGCCTCTCCCCCGCCCCTGAAATATTGCTCCTTTGAGCTCCTGTTTCTTCTGGGGGCTGTGCCTCCTGCTTTCTGAGCTTGGCACAGCTAGAGATGAAAAGCAGTTTTCCCCGAGGACGGTGCCCGGGATTAAATTGCTCCATGGCTGGGCGCAAAGCTCACGCCTGTAATCCCAGCACTTTGGGAGGCTGAGGTGGGTGGATCACCTGAGGTCGGGAGTTCGAGACCAGCCTGACCAACATGGAGAAACCCCATCCCTACTAAAAATACAAAAATTAGCTGGGTGTGGTGGCCGGCGCCTGTAATCTCAGCTACTCAGGAGGCTGAGGTAGGAGAATCCCTTGAACCCAGGAGGCGGAGGTTGTGGTGAGCTGAGGTCGCTCCATTGCACTCCAGCCTGGACGAAAGAGCGAGACTCCGTCTCAAAAAAAAAAAAAAAGAAAAAAAGAAAAAAAAATCACCTGGGTGTGGTAATGTGAGCCTGTAGTTCCAGTTACATGGGAGGCTGAGGCTACCATGAGCTGTGTACATGGCACTGCACTCTAGCCTGGGTGACAGAGTGAGACCCTCAAAAAAACCAAAACCTTATTCCTTAGGAAACTGGCAAAGGAAATTCTCCTGTTCCAGAACTCAGGCCTGGTGAGGGGTCCCTGGGAGATGGAACACCTGGGTGTGGGCAGTGGAGAGGCCTGATGGGCTGGCTCAGCCCCTCACTCCTCCCAGCCTACTGTGGAGTAAGTGCTCTGTGGCATCTGTGGGTGGTCAGGGTCTCCCATGCGTGCCTGTCCTGGTTTGGAGGATGTGGGTCAGGGGTCTTCACTCAGGTTCCCAGGACAGGGACAGGGACTTGCATTCCCACCTTCCTCACCCGGCCCTGTGTCCGTGGAGGGGCTGTGGGGCAGGCAGGGGGGGTGTGTGGCTGGCCCTCCTCACCCTGTGGTCACCTCGGGCTCAGAGCACCGCTAACAGCCTGGTAGCGTGGGCGATTTGGGCAGGGAGCTTGGGTTACAGAGCCCTGGGAGAGGCCCTGAGGGCCTGTGAGCCCTGGGAGTCGGGAACTGGGTGTTAGGACGACCTTGAACAGATCTCTTATCTCTGTGTACCTGCTGAAACTTCACAGCCACCAGCTGGGTTCTAGGCGCCCTCAGGCTGGCGCTCCAGGGCCAGAGGGGCTGAGGGCTTTGCCCCAGCAGGCCCAGGGGCTGTGTGCTGCTGGTGGCCTCCCCTGCCTGTCCCCACAGAGGCCGGCTCTCTCCAGGACACCGTGGCCCCGGGGGCTTGAGTTTCCTCTGCCCACGTTATCAGGCCACAGCCTGGTGGGTGGGACCTGGTGGCCAGCAGACACCTGGAAAGCCTGGAGTGCGTCGTGGGTGGAGCCTGCCCCTGCCCCTGCCCAGCCCCCAGGCCAGGCTCCCCTGGAGCTTGGCCCGGCTTTTCCGACAGGCTGCTGTTGGCAGGTATATCGTTTCTTCGGGTGCCTCTATGGGAGGGTCACCAGGCTGGCAGGAGAGCCTGCTGCTCACCTGTCTTCCTCCTCAGGAGGGGCCTGGGCCTGGGCCTGAGCCAGCCACTCTCCAGTGAGACCTAGGCAGGGTTCCTGAGTGCAGGATGGGGAACTGCAGTGGGGAACTGCAGCGGAGGGGAGGATGCCACACCCTGCTGTGTCCACTGTGCATTTCCTCCTGAAGCCTTTGTCATTAATTAACCTCAGAGGGAGGGGCCCCCAAAGGGACGTGCCCTCCACCCTGACCTACCCAGGAGAAGGCTGGGACCCAGGGAGGGAAGGATGCCCAAGGTCACAAGGGCACGAGGTCGGAACTGGCACGGGGGCTGGGGGTGAGAGCCTGTGAGTCCTCGCCTGGGGCCATGAGCAGGATGTCTCCCACGGGCCCTTCTCCATCCCCGCACCAGGCATGGGCGCATTCCCTGAGGACAGTTAGGAGCCTTGCCCGCTTGGAATGCAGGGGGCAGCTGTCCGCTTGTTCTCATGGCTGGCCAGGCTTCTGGCCTGGGTCCCTCCCGCACGCGGGGTCTCCCTCTGGGTAAGGGGGAATTTGGGCTCTGGTTTGGCTGTGTCCGAAGACATCATAGCCCAAGCAGGCAGCCAACCCATCCAGAGATGGGGGATGTGGAAGGCTGAGAGGAGGTGGGAGGGCCATGCCTTGGCCTTGGTAGCCAGGGCATCTGTGATAAGGGGCGGGGGCTCCTTCCTGACACCTGCTGGGTCCTTCAGCTTCAACCTGGGTTGGCCGTGGGGAGTGGGGTCTTCTAAGGTTGGAGGCAGTTAGGGTGGCGACGGGTGCTGAGGTGCCCTGGGACTTGTTTGGAAGCTGCTGCAGTGAGATGGCAGCTTTGAAAAGACCCAGATGCCAGGAGGGTGGGATGTAGGTCATTTGGGGAGGGATGGCAGAGGACTGGCTGAGGGGCCAGAGGGTGGCCGTGACCTTTACCAAGGTCAGAGTTGGTGTGCCAAGGGCTGCAGGTGGGTCCCCTGGGGCTTACAGCCCTTTCCTTCTGGGGACCTCATCCTCCCCATCTGCGGCCCTGGAGGAGGGCTCCCAGCCTGGCTGACGCCTCCTTCTCCTCACAGAGGTGGGGCTGGTGTCCGAGCACTTCTCGCAGGCCCCGCAGAGGCTGTCCTTCTACAGCTGGTACGGCAGTGCCAGGCTCTTCCGCTTCCGCGTGCCCCCGGACACTGTGCTTCTGCGCTGGCTGCTGCAGGTCTCCCGGGAGGGCGGCACCGCCTGCACCGACGCAGAGATCACCGTGTAGGTGGCCGCCCGCCTGCCTGCCCACCCCCCGCGCCTGGCCAAGCCCTGTGCCTGAGCCCTGTGCTGCCCTCCCGTCTCCAGGCACTTCCGTTCCGGCGCTCCTCCCGTCATCAACCCACTGGGCACCAGCTTCCCAGATGACACCTCGGTGCAGCCCTCCTTCCAGGTCAGGGTGCCACTGAGCGCTGCACCGCTAAGCAATGCCTCTGTCAACGTTTCCCACCCAGCCCCCGGGGACTGGTTCGTGGCCGCCCACCTGCCCCCGTCATCCCAGAAGATCGAGTTGAAGGTGAGAGGGGCTGCCCTCCGGGATGGAGGCAGAGAACCTCGCGGCGATGGCCAGTCCCTGCCGTTCACCTCTTTGGGGTGGTCCTTGCTCTAGGCTCCACACTGCATTCTGGGGCCAGCCCTGCTCCCTGCATGCCTGGGGTTTCTGGTGGGACCCTGCCCTCATGCCTGCATTCTCTGACACCACCCCTGCCCACACCTGTTCTCTCCCTAGGGCTTGGCTCCCACCTGTGCCTACGTCTTCCAGCCTGACCTGCTGGTCACACGGGTGGTCGAGATTTCAGTCATGGAGCCAGATGTGCCCCTTCCACACACTCTCCTCTCCCACCCCAGCTACCTCAAGTGAGCGGGGCCTGGTGGGGCAGCCCAGCTCTGGCCTCCGGCCCCACCTCAGATTTGGTGGAGTGGGTGCGAGAGCCTGGCCCTGAGCCCTGGGGGTGGGCTGGGAAGTAGTCCAGATGCCTGGCCTCCTTGGGTCCCCACGAGGTGGGCTGAGGAATGGCAGAGCCTGAGCCAGCTGTGTCCCCTTGCTGCAGGGTCTTTGTCCCCGATTACACGCGGGAGCTTCTGCTGGAGCTGCGGGACTGTGTGTCCAGCGGGAGCCTGGGTTGCCCTGTGCGTCTCACCGTGGGCCCGGTCACCCTGCCTAGCA